TGAATTTGACGTGCTTGTCTTTGTTCATAGACTAAGTGCAGAACAGTCGCACACTTCCTTTTTTCTATATTCTTATCTGCTTGCATTATTAATTTATTATAGCATCATCCCAACCAACCATTATACAGTGCCGTGTTCTTCCTTTCTATATCAGTATCAATTTAGCATATGTGATATGGCTGAAATTATATTACCTCAGTAAACACATTCATCAAACACAAAGCAGATAAAAGTATCAAAATTCTTCCTATCAATTGTTCACAGGATTTGAAGGTTCAATAGATGGCTTTCTATGGCTACAATGGTGATGCTGGTGAGTGCCACTTGACTCCTTATTTCAGTTCCCCTTACGATTATGATGCTTTTCCAATTCAGTCTACAATATCATATTCTTTCTATGGATATAGCAACTCAGAGCAAATTGAGCAGAGTACTAATTACAATTACTACTACACTACTCAAATGCATCCACAATTAAGTTACTCTGTGCATAATTCTACTGAGCCAAAACTTATCCAGTATGAAAAGGCTGCTAATTCTTTAGAGACAAGATATGTAATCTCTTATTCAACTAAACAACATGATGATACTGTGTTTGAAGAATATGATCCAACCCCTTATGGTGGTGGCTATGACATGGCTCAAACATATGGCAAACCCCTTAGCCCCTCCAATGAAATCTGTTATCCTCGTTCCGTTCCTAAATCTAATGGACTGAATGGTTTCGAGTCTTTCGACTATGGATCAATTCCTTCACCTTATGTAAAGCACGACGATCTGCTAGAAGAACCTCAGGATCACAGCAAAGAGATGGATGTCAAAGATGAGCCAAAATCTTTATCTGGTATTAAAGAAAAAGCCAATAATCATGAGGATTGTATTCTTGAAAAACCAATAGTACCTCTTCAAAAAGATCAAGATTTTGTAGCTGGAAATGGAACTATAGGGGAATATGGATATGATTATGGGAGCCAATTGCAACAAATTCCTTATGGTTCAGGATTGGAAGCTATGGATATATGTGAGAGCTTATTTGGTTATTGGCCCTGCTTAGCCAAGCACAACCAGAAAAGAAATGTGAACAATGTAAATGGTGCTGAAGATAGCAGCAACGAGCTATGGCAAAGTACTGCAGATCATCTTTTTGGGAATCCCTTTGGATATGGTGGTAATGGAAGAGATGAAAGATATGGGAATTCTGCTTATGTTAATCAAAATTACTATTATCAGCAACAACCTTAAAATTTATGAATGATTGGTAAGAAATACCTAATCCAATTTGTTCAAGATTAACTGTATAATAAATGGTCATACTTCATTTACAATTTTGTACTAGTTCCTTCGACAGTTCTGTGCTGTTTGAAACATAAGGCTGAAGTTAATGTGACTCAAGGGCCAGTTTATAAATAGAAAGTATCCAGAAACTTCCATTTTCCTCGCCCCTTGAGCTTTTGGTCAGAGGTAACAATCCAACACGTGATGTGTTAGGTCAAGTGTTCGAACCCTGTCTCAAACAAAGGCTGGTATTTAAGCAGGTTCATACTCAGAATTTCGAAAGTGTGCACCAACTGGAGTTGGGCTAGAAGCCAAGCCCACAGGATAAGAAAAATCCATTCTCTCTCCAAATACTAAGATGTTCTACAAATTGCTTTTTGTGTGAATCTTGCTGTAATTTAGTCTGTGTAGTTTATTTATTTATTTTGTTATGCTGTTATTGTCATTTTGTTTTTATTTTCCAATTTTATTTATCCAGATATAAGGTACCTTTAACTAAAAGGAGATATTCCTTGGGGGAGCCTCTAAGCAGATATGAGATTAACTAATTACATAAGACATCAGCAGGACAAATAAAAAGCAAAAACATACAATAGTAGTTTAAATCTAGTGGTTGAGAGCTGGAGCTCATAAGCTCTTAAGCTCACATGAGCTTCACTCAATTCCACTTTGGTGGACCTATGTGTAGGTTAACAGCTTTAAAAAAAAGAAGATCTAGCCATCTAGGTAAATACGACTCGAATGCCCTCTTAGCAATAGCATCCGTAACCACAGCTATTGAGTCTGCTGTGAGAATAAGCGCCGCAGAATAGGCAGCTATTGACTCTCTCTTGATAACTTGCTTATGTTAGAGCTATTGTGTCACTGTCCTTTTCTACTTTCTCTGCCGATACCTCTTTGAGATCCCGTAGATGTTAAAGGTGTAGTTGGCCCACATATCGACGATTTTTAATGCCTTATCCTAGGCCCATCTAGTTCATCGAGGGATAGACGACAGAACGTTCTGGTACTGATACTTGAAAAAGCAGCTTTCAAGGTCTCGTCGTTTCGGTGAATCACTTGAGCCCTGGTCGAAAGTGAGATCTCTTTTAGTCCGGTCTTCTTTTCTCTTTTGAGTCAGTGTTGGCATAGAAGCAACAACAACAGATTCAGTGTGATCTCATATAGTAGGATTTGGGGAGGATATAGTGTAAACAGATTTTACCCGTACCTTGTAAAGCTAGAGAGGTTGTTTTGATAGACCCCAGAAAAAATGAAAAAGAAGCAAAAATAACAAATAGTAACAACAGTAAGATAAGTAGGTGATAAGGTGATACAGAGACAGAATAACCGAAGCAAACGAGCCAACATATAGTAAAAGAAATTTGCGGATAAGAAGATACAAACATACAAGACTAATACTAATGTAACCAGCATGAAAAGGAGACACTCACGCCTATATACTAACCTCCTATCTTAATCTCCATCTCCGCACCCTCCTATCAAAAGTCATGTCTTCGATAAGCTGAAATTTCGCCATATCATGCCTAATCATTCAAAGTTAGCATAGAAGAATTACTATTATTTATTGCCCTGCTACAGATTAAAAGAAAATCTAATCATGATTTGCCTGAAAATGCAATGATCAACCTTTCTCTTCTTTCAAACTCAAGAGCTGTTAAACTTTCTTTTTTATTTATTTTCTTTGACAAGCTATTGCATTTTCTTTGACATGTCCTCTTTGTCTTCCTTTGATAATAGCATGGTTTGCTGACTTGCTGATTATACTACCACTTAACGTTCTTAGGAAGAAGATTCTATGGGGAAATTTGATGGAATAACTAATTTTGTATTATGAAGCAATTGTTATTTCTGAAAAATATAAATGAACGATAATAATTTACCAAGATTTTTTTTCTTCACACATTCATTGATTTAATAGAAGTGGACATATTTTTCATGATTCAATATCCTTTGAACGTAAATTAAGCTCTTCAACAATCTTATTGGAGACGAAGAGACATATAAGGTTCTAAATAAAACCATAGTGAACATAAATATATTGTAACAAGTTTAGAGGTTTCGAAAAGTTAGAGCAATGTCACAAGGATGAAACATTAAGAATAGCTAATTATATTTTTTTATTAATAAAGGATGGAATGAGTGGAAAGCAAAGTCAGGTTTAAGACAAGCACAAGACATTCCAATCACTACATGCACGAAAAATAATTCGGCGAGGCATAAAAAGTCATAAAGAGAAAGAAAGTGGTTGCCTAGAATATCATTACGAATCATATCTTTTGTTAATTAAGATTACCAGCCCATTCAAAAAGCTATTTTTTATACCATGGCATTTCTTTTCTGTCCCATGCTTTGTCTTAATGCCCGCGATTTAGGGTACTTTGTGGCAAAAAAANCCCCCCCCCCCCCCAAAAAAAAGGGAGGGAGAGAAACGCATTCTTACGACCTTGACCGTCTATGAATATATCTTCTATTTATTTTTTTTTGTTATAAATAATTGCCAATAATAATTTGATAATTTACAAATTTGATGTCATTAAATATGCAAATCTATACAGACAATTTACTTAACTTTTATACAAACAACATGTAATTACTCATGTAAGGTTGATTCACCGTGAAATTTGAACATTTTTCGAGCGAATTAACTTCAATACGGATTTTGTTTTCTTATTCATTTTTAATACATCAAATATGAAATGAAACTTTAGAGAGAATAAATGAGGAGAAAGATTCAAAGTATGTGGAACCTCGTAGTTTCCGTCAAAAGAGATTTTGATGAAAATAACAGATAGCAGTTCTAAGTTCTAATTTGTGCAATTCTCTCTTGTGCCAGTGGCAGCTGCAACTGCTTTTTTCTGGCATGATTGGCTATCACACTATGCATTACTAACCTTTAACCCTAAGACAATTGTCTGGTGTCTCCTATACTTCTTACTGTATTTTAATATGTTACCTTTTCTGCCCTTTTCATGTCCCTACCCATATATACATTTCTCTTACTCTAATTATGCCCTCTTGTCTTTGGCCCTGGCCCCATCTCATTTTCATTTTCCCTTTTCACAAAATGGTTACTCCACTTGAGTTATTGACCAAAATGACCATGGCCGCCACCTCACAAGATTGTGAATTGTGATTTAGTACTTCATATACTTATATTCTTTTCCCTCGAATACATGACTGTTTTGAAAGCTGAAGAACATTAAAATGGTGGACAGAAAATTATCCCAAAATTGGTATGACACAATTGAGAGATTTATTGAACTTTTTTTTAGATAAAATGAGGTCCTATTATACTGGATCTTTAACTTTTTACTTGCTTAAACTGGTTGATGAAAAATTCCTTATTTTTGTATCAGATTATTGCGATACGTAGAAATAGTACTCAATTGTCTATTTATGAATGTATGCATTGTTACGATAACATTGATAATGAATCGCAGTTGTCTATTTATCAATGCATTAAAAAAAATGTATAGACAGAGCACCTTGAAGTTCAATTTATCCTACTAGTAAGTATATGTTGCTAACAAATGCCCAAAGCATAGTGACCAACAAGGTACTTTGGGAAATGATTGAATTTAAATTCTTTTATAAAATAAAACACCACATTTGTAGGGACAAAATCTTGAATCATTAAAAAGGGCAATATGGGAAATTAGTCACACATAATTGAAGATATGGCCCACCTTCTCACACCATAAACCTTGTTAAAATCGACCCTTTTTTCTTCCTCCCTTTGAACCATTTTTACACCACTACCTAATCCATGGCCAACCTTCACAGCCTCCTCAAGATATATACACTTTTTCTATCCATCTTTCTCTTCTCTTTCACCATTTCCTCAGCTTCAATCCATGACCTTCTCAGAAGCAGGGGCCTCCCAGCTGGGCTATTCCCAAAGAATGCTGTAAAATCATATGATCTTGATCAACATGGTCATCTCCAAGTCTACTTGGACAGTCCTTGTGTTGCAAAATTTGAGACAAGGGTGTTCTTTGACAGTGTTGTGAGAGCTAACCTTAGCTATGGTGGATTAATTGGAGTGGAGGGCCTTTCTCAAGAAGAGCTGTTCCTTTGGTTGCCAGTGAAAGACATCATAGTTTATGATCCTTCTTCTGGTTTGATCTTGTTTGACATTGGTTTGGCTCATAAACAGATGTCTCTTTCTCTCTTTGAAGAGCCTCCTATTTGTAGTCCTCAAGGTATCCTCTTTAATTTCTTTCATTCTTTATATAACGTTGTTAAAAATTCATTCTTGATTAGTTTGTCATCTCTCCTTTTATCACAATTACTAATCTTTGTTTTTCAAGAACTTGTTTTTACCTTCTATTATGTTTGGCTATAGAAGTGGTCGGAGCATCCAGAATTTAAATTTGACAGAGTTTAATATTATGTTTTCACCACTGAACTCACTGCATTTATATAAATGTTCTGTGGAAAAAAAAATACTGAGTTCAGTTGAATTCCCTGGAACTACACAGCATTCGCCTCCGGAAGTGGCGCGTGTATAATTGGATTGGATATTGGTGCATCTTTTTGTTATTAGATCTGAAATTTGTTTGTTCTGAACCTAATGGAAGATGCAAAATATGAATTTGATGTGTTCTAACATTTAAGCTTAAATTTCATTGCAGGAAATGGAGGTGTGTTGATGAAGAAGGAAGGAAGGAAAGAGACTGGATTTCAGATTGAAAGATATAAAGATCTTGCAGTCAGTGGAATCTGATATATTTCCAATTTTGGTGCTGTGTTCTTTCATTTTGGCTTTGGCTTTGTCTCAATTTGAGGATGATTGAAGACTTGAAGTTTGATAAAGAAAAAGTGCATTGAGGTTCTCATTTAGGTGCTTGTAGGGTTGTATAAAGTGGAAACTAACAGTATAAAGTTTTGGAAAGAAACTGAGAAAATTTTGAAATCTTTTAAATAATACTTGCCTGTTATATTGATATATCATGAGTCATGAAATACCCAAAGCAGAAATATATCGTGTGAGCATATATGCTATACTTTTGTTTTTTCTTCTGTCCTAAAATATTCACTTAATATTCAAATCATTGCCTGTGTTGGCTGCTACAACCATTAATCCGGGACTATTCTGACCATCAAGGTGACAAATATAACAGGAATAATCAAAGTAATGACATTCATGCCATTTAATTTCGCGAATGACCAGACTTCAAATAAATTTGGTCATAGTCAAATGGAGTAGTATAAAATAACACATGTGACGGGGGCGGATATAGCTTTCGGCGGCCGGAGAGGGTACGTCAGCCAATTGCATTATACTCGAAACTGTATGCATATATGGTTGAAAATCCGAAAAGAATACATTTGTATTAAATTCGCACTAACCCAAAGAGTACCGGGTGTAGTATTTTGGAATTCTGAATCCTAAACATACGTTGGTTTAGAATTCTGAATCATGTCAAAGGTGTTCTTCTACCTGTCCAGTGTTTATGACAGCAGTTCTGTTAAACAACTTAATTTTATGTGTCTATATACGGGTGAAACCGGCTTACGGGACGTCCCAGTTTTTGATAAGGTAAATCAAGCAAGAGGCGTGATGATAAGGAGTCGGAATCGAGGCAAGGCTCTTATCGCGACAGGGTCCAAGGGCACGACGCCCGCCTTCGGGAATATCGGGGCCATGACCCTGGGATCAGTCCAAATCCCAAAGGACTTCAAAGAAAATTATCGGGCAACCGAACACGATTAACAGAGGGCCGTAATATTTGTGACTAACCGAGTATCACGGCGTAGATCTCGGCACGTACTGACGAAAATCTGGTGATTATTTAAACGGAAGATTTTTTACCTTTTATGGAATTGTAACTAGAGTAGAATCCCCTACTATATAAAAAGGGTCTCATTGTTTATTGAATAAATTGTAACACGCATACCAAGGCAATAAACTACAGTATTATTTTTTTGTTATTCAAAGTTCATACACTTGTTGATCAGTGTTCCATTACTATAAGTCTGGGGATCGTGGATGGATATCTCATTGAGGCGGCCGCCGAGTCCAGAATCATCCCTTTACCCTTGTTTTCGAGTGGTTTGGTAATTTATTACATCTTTTATCTGTTCAATCTAGAAATATTTATCGTTTGTATTGAATTAATCCACGTATCCTTAAAACCACTAACAAATTTAATTGTTATCCGTTTTTTAGGGTAAACAGTTTGGCGCCCACCGTAGAGCTAAGGACAATAGCGGCAATTTGATACAAATCTCCTTAACACACCCTATTTTACACTTGTTATTTAAGTGTTTTTAATTTCAGGTCAAAGTTTAAAATGTCTAACTCCCAATCTGCTCCTCTGAACGTGGATGCTGAGTCTGGCCACCATGGCGAGAACAACAATATGGCACTCAGTAACAAGGTGTCCCATGTCGACCCCAACAGAGTTCCAGCCGCGAACCCGATCGACGATAACTCACATGTGGCCATCAATGCGAATTTGCCTACCGATCCTGAGAACAGCATCCGCGGGGGAGTCCGTTCAGTAGCCAAAGTACACACGACGGTGAAGGCGATGGAATCAACTTGTGAGTAATCTTCGAAATATTGCAGGCTCAACAAGCAGCGATAGCCTAGTCCAGGGTTGACCAAATCCTAGGAGCACCACCGATACTGAAGGGCCTGAATTCCAAGAAGTCTGTTCAAAAAAAATTTCCTACGAGAGCAGCTCCGAAGCCAATCCCAAAGAAGTTCCGCATGCCTGAGATTCTTAAGTACAACAGAACAACTGACCCCAATAAGCATGTGACCTCCTACACGTGCGCCATCAAATGGAATGACTTGGAGGATGATGAGATCGAGTATGTCCTGCTGAAAAAGTTCGGGGAAACTTTGTCAAAGGGAGCTATGATATGGTATCACAACTTACCCCCTAATTCTATTGACTCGTTTGCTATGCTTGCAGACTCTTTCATGAGCACACGTCAGGGCCATCAAGGTCGAGGCCAGGAAGTCAGACCTTTTCAAAGTGAAACATAGAGATAATGAGATGCTCAAGGAGTTCGTGTCCCGGTTTCAAATGGAACGAATGGACTTGCCTCCGGTCGCGGACGATTAGGCCGTTCAGGCCTTCATCCAAGGACTCAGTACTCGAAGCTCATTGGCTTCATAGCAGTTGAAGCAAAATCTGATAGAATATCTGGCGGTAACTTTGGCCGACGTCCACAATCGGTACCAATCAAAAATCAGGGTCGAAGATGACCAGCTTGGGGCCCCTTTTGGGTTCGTTTACCCAGTCAGAGCTGATAACAGATCCAAAAGAGACATTGATCGTGAACCAAGATCGAATAGGGACCGGTATCAACCATACAATGGAGACCGAAGAGGTAATAGGTCTAGACGAAACCCTGTGAGAAGAGAAAGGAGAAGCGACCGAAGTTAAAATAGCCTGGGTCTCATGAGCAAATGCGGTTTTGACAGATCTGTCGGGCTTAAGGAAGCGCCAAGGCTATCAGAGTACAACTTCAACATCGATGCTGCTGTCATCGTATCTGCCATCGAACGCATCAAAGACACGACATGGCCTCAACCTCTACAGTGTGACCCTACTTAAAGGGACCCCGACCAGGCAATGGTGGTAGCTAGCTACCCCGACAGGGGCAGAAAGGACCCGGGCAACCTCCGGGATGGTGATAATAACTGACCGCTTCCGGCCAGGATCCATGCTCGGAGCGGGGAACCGGTTGATCAACCTTGGGCTTGAGTTCGGCCCACCAACCTTCGAGGATGGACTTTTCCTCGGCACATCTAAGTCGCCTAACCCGGAGAAGTCTTCCAGGGCGGTTGAGTCCACACCATCAAAGAAGCAGCGAAGGGGATCATCCACTCCATGAATCCCTTCGGTTGATCAATCATTCATCGCTCGGGATTCATCGAACATAGACTCTGTAAACGAGGGCGATCCCAAAATTTCTATAATACCGGGTGGGGTGGAGCCGATATCTCGAAGGGTCTCGGCCCTCACCTCTGCACCAACCTCATGAACTTGACGGGGATTAGCCTCAGTTGTTTCCCCACTGGTTGTCATCTGTTCCTCGGGGAAAGACGGCTCACAGGCCAGAAAAAGTTCATCCTCCTCGGGCTCGTCCCTGAGCCGATAGAGTAAATCCGAGTCAAGCACTCAGGAACTGGAGCTTTCCTTTGGATTATGAGCCAACCTTCTCCTCAGTTTCTTTTTCTCCGAGCTCGGGGAACTCGGAGCCCTCCTCCTTTTTTCCTCTCCTGCTGCGGCTCCGGCTGCCCCGAAGAAGAAGGACCAGCAGATAGATCTTCGCCCCCTACCAAGGGCCTAAGCTTGATGGTCTTAGGCAAGCTTGCAAAAAAGAGAAGAGAAGCAATGAAGACGTAGTATTGAAAAAGAAAGTCTAGTGCTACTTATTTAGGAAAAAGAATCTTACCGTGGGAATGGGCCTCCCAGCGGCCCTTTGAGAGCTCGCGCCACGGACAAAGCGTCCCTGCCAGCCTCAATCCTTGTCCTCGTCGATACTTGAAAATAGGGCTTTGCTGGCCCAACGTACAAGCTTTTTCAGTCCCCCCCGGAAGATTCGAGGACTATACAAGCGGAGTAGATGATCGATGGTGAACGTGTAAGAGTCAATTTGGTTCACAAAGAATCAGAGGAGAATCATAATCCTTTACAGCGATGGGTGGATCTGGCCGAAGCATACTTCATACCTCCTACAGAAGTCCAAGGTGACCGGGTCCACCGGTCCCAATATAAAGGGATAAGTGTAAACATTCAGATATCTCTCAACATGGGTAGTAATGTCGTCGTCAGGCCTGGGAATCACTATGTCCTTATTCGTCCAAATGTAGTCCTTTCGAACCACAGGAAGAATGGCCTGAGTAATGGAGTAGATGTACCGTGACACCGCCTTGTAACGACCTTGAACTGAAGAGGGATTTTCGACCTTGAAGTCGTCATTAACCGGAAACCCCCGGGGACGAATATTTTCAAGGGGGTTTGACCGCCGGTTCATCAGTGGCTACGCCCGGAGCAGACCTCTCGAGGACAACCACATCAGGGGCAGTCTCCTCGACCTTAGTGGTCGGCTGTGAGGCGGAAGAAGCACCTTTTCGGGGAATAATTTTAGAAGTCTTCGCCATTTTTATCTTGGTAAAAGGTTTGAAAGTGTGAAGGAAGATGAGGAGATAAAGAGTAAAACTTGCTGAGAAAATCAAGCACGCTGGCTTAAGTGAAGGGTAAAAGAAAGATTGCAATTTGAAAAACGAAGGTAAGAATGTTGAAAAATGAAGGAAGACAGTAATATCTTGAAGGATCGAAGGTAGAAGCTTGGTCAAAAGTAAAAAATGAACGAAGGAAGGAGTATTTATAGTGTCTTTGAGCCGTTTCGCATCCAAGAGCGACCTGCGATGGCTGATACACGTTTGGGGTTATTATGACGCGACTGACAGTACGTTTGGGTTTCTTTGTCATTTTGTGTCACGACGTGTTCAAGAAGGGATCTAAGAACTCATGTCATTCCTCGTCGTTTCCATAAAACTTACTCTCCGAGAAATGAGGGGACTATCTGTATACAGATGAAATCGGGCATGCGGGACGCCCCGGTTTCCGATAAGGTAAATCAAGCAAGAGGCGTGATGATAAGGAGCCGAAATCGAGGCAAGGGTCTCATCGAGACAGGGTGCGGGGGCACGACGCCCGCCTTTGGGAATATCGGGGCCAAGACCCTGGGGTCGGTCCAAATCCCAAAAGATTTCAGAGAACATTATCGGGCAACCGAACACGATTAACAGAGGGTCGTGATATCCATGACAGGCCAGGTATCACGGCGTAGATCTCGACACGTACCGGCGAAAATCCGGTGATTAGTTAAACAGAAAGTTTTTTTACCTTTTGTGGAATTGTACCTAGAGTAGGACTCCCATACTATATAAAGGGGGTCTGATTGTTCATTGAACAGATTATAACACACATACCAAGGCAATATACCATTATTTTTTTGTTATTCAAAGTTCTTACACTTGTTGATCAGTGTTCCATTACTATAAGTCTGGGGATCGAGGACGGATATCGCATTGAGGCTGCCGTCGAGTCCAGAATCATCCTCTTCCCCTTGTTTTCGAGTGGTTTGGCAATTTATTACATCTTTTATTTGTTCAATCTAGCAATATTTACCGTATTGAATTAATCCACGTATCCTTTAAACCACTAACAAATTTAATTGTTATCCGTTTTTAGGGTAAGCAGTGTCAATTCCGATTCTTTTTAAAATAAAATTTACATAATTCAAAAATTATACATAATACTACTATAAATCACAGTAATTAATTAATTCAAAATATTTTAAATTTTTTTTAAAAAAAATCGTGATCAACGAAACCCTTCTTTGACTCTCCAATAATAATACTGTCACAGTAAACAGAGGAAGTGACTAAATTGATGCATGGTCCAAGCCATGGTCAAAGGTAGAATTACATGTTAATTATGTGGTAATTCATGGTTATTGTGCATATATAGCTAGAGTTTTACAGGTCGAATTCTCCATGAGTTAGACATTATATAACTTGTAGCTAGGTAGAGTCACACTAATGTTTTGGACACAGGAAAAAGAAAAGAAAAATGAATCTGTACCCCCATTTTAATTTGTATCCATTTCTGCAGCAATATGCATGATGAGGTTTATTTGCATTGCTGTAATTGCATGACCTATTATATCAATTATGAGGGGCAATGTGGGCCACAGAAATAATTTGTAATCTTTAAGCTTGAAAAGACCAGGGTGGCCTGTAGATCCATGTGTTAATAGTATCAATTTTAGACTTTATACTAAACTTTTTCTGACCAGCTACTAGCCTTGGGTCCACAGGTTTGGTCAGATTGTTAATTTTGATTGAACAAGAAAAATTGTTTAAGGAAGATTGTAATTATCATAATGGATTTCAAGTTGATTATTAAGCTTCTTGAAGAAAAAAGAGAAAGATCCTCCTAAATCAGGTTTATGCTATTGATTTATGAAAGGAGACAATGAAAATGATATAGGTGGTTAGAATGGCGTCAAGTTTGTTGTGCAATCTTTTTTCAACTTCCTATCTTTGTCCTCTATATCTACAAATATACAATTTCCATTATTGTAGTTTTGGATCTTGCGTAAAATGGCTTTGTCTAGAGCTGAAGCTTTGCTGGTTAAGACTATCTTTTGTTTTGTTTATTTGCATTATTGAACTTTAATTTGGATCTTATGTATCTACAATTTCCAATATTGAAGTTTTGGATCTTATCTAAAATGTCTTTAGAGATGAATCCTTCGCGGATCAAAGGCTCTTTTGTTTTGTTATTTTTTTCATTCCTCAAAATGAAAAATTCCGGTTAAATTTCACATATAGGCATGTGGCCTGATGCAACAAATAGGGTAGAGAGGCCTGATGCAACAACAACAACAACAATTCAGTATAATTCCATTAGTGGGGTCTGGGGAGAATAATTTGTACGCAGACCTTACCCCTATCCTAGGGTAGAGAGGCTGTTTACGATAGACCCTCGGCTCCCTCCCTCCAAGAACTCCCCACCTTGCTCTTGGGGTGACTCGAACTCACAACCTCTTGGTTGAAAGTGAAGGGTGCTCACCACTAGAGCAATCCACTCTTGTTCACGTGGCCCGATGGAAAAATGAAAATATTTGGTCATAGACAAATATAACCTTTTTTAGAATATCTTCAACAGTTTTACCAAACTTAAATACTATTAGCTAGATATATGTAATTAGATTACCTAGGCATCTAAAATGAGCAAAAGCTTATCATATATGTGAGTAACTTAACATTGAATATCTGAATTGGAAAGCAAAAGGAGTAACAAAATCAGAAATGGTGTGTCTCAGTCTCAGCCCTGACTATGTTCGGTTCTTCTTCGTGTGACTCGAATGTAACAAAAAATGGAAGCAACAAGGGCAATGGCAAAGCCTCCAAGGATCAAGTCTCCACCAGCCATGGACTTGTCAAAAGAGTGATGAGTCCTTATATGTGTAATTGCCGGAGCCTCATCACCTTTTCCTCTGCCCGTTCCTCCTTCAAACGGTGCAGGAGTTGGGACTAATGTCAAGGTGTCTAATCTTCTAAGCGCGTAAGCATTTTGTATAAGCAAGACTAACTGAGCTAAAACTAGGCAAATGTGGAGAAACCTGAGACTAGCCATAGGAAATATGAAGCTTGGACGTAGGAGATTTTGCTAAGTCCTAGTTGTGCAAGCCCTGGATCCTATTAATATAGAGGAAGACAGACTTGATAAAGTCTTTTTCGTGTTAATATTATAACAAGGGTTGGTACACTTTCCATGGTCTTAAATTTTGAAGATTTGACGTCCATTTTGGTTTTCCAAGTGGTCTTTGTTGGATTCTTGACCTGTTTGGAGATAGTTTTAACAAGGGCAGGTGATGTTTGAGGCAGGTTTATTTTTGACAGTTTTTTTAGGACGGTAATGGTTAGAGAACAGACAAGAAAATAAGACAGACAGTGAAACAACAGTCTTCTGTACTCTTCACACGTCTAATATTGGTGTTTGTTCAATCTTTTATTCCAACCCAGAGCACACTTCACTGGTATTATTTTACTGTTTCTTAAGCTGGAAGTGACCGAAATTACTAAACATATTTTCATATCTAGAAGCCAAAAAGTGTGAAGTCTGGATCCCACCATTGAAGATTCAAGTCAAAAGCATATTACATTCAAAGTTGAATTAAGTCAAACTTGACTGCACGAAAAGCTATAGACTTTAGATATATAGGAGAAAGTGATTAGAAATATATGATACGTTGCTTCAGCAATGTTTGGAAGAAGGAAAAAAAAGAGTTCACACAAGCTGTTTTCAGACAATTTGGATCCAAAGGATTTTCATCTTTTAATGATGGAAAACATGATTTAATCCTTTTGACATCCATAACTAAAAGTTAAAGGTACTCTGGCATTTCTCTAAAAAATCTGATTCCTGTTAGAATATATGGTAAAAGAGCACTAAAATGAGACTAATATTACTAGAATAATTAGGGACTTATGCTGCTGCTAGTTTCTCTATATGCCGCGGATGATCTCCAGCAAGATCTCTCTGATTTGATGAGCATCAATTTGTCCTCCGCGAACCACCTGAAATACATAGAAAGAAAAACAAATTGTTCATGTTCTTATATTGCAGGACACAGAGTAAGCAAGATATCTTATCTGTGCTATTACAAAATCTTGATATCCTCATGTAATGGTTGGAAATTGCTACTAAAAATCTTACTTTTTAAACAATATAATATGTTTGCCTACCTCCACAGATGAAGTAACAAGAAGAGCTCCTTTGGAGGCAGTGACACTGGTGTCATTGAGATCAAATCCAAGAACATTCATTGCCTCCATCAGTTTAGTAAATCCACCTCTTTTCTTCTGGCAGACTATCTTTATCCAAAGCTTACTTGTACCAATGTGAGCCACTTGAACTTCAGGCTATTTTATGAAAAAAATAATTTGTTTAAATGTTTGGTACTAGTAGATTAGGAAATTATAGTTTAACTGAAGAATTAAAGATTGTAACTTTGGTTTATACATAAAGTTACCTACCTCTATGCCCCAGTTAGCCATCTCCTCGGCAGTATCAATATTCTCTTCACTTTTTGTCTCCAATTCCTCTCCATGAGTTGCCTCCATTTCTAGAAGCTGCTCACTTAGGTTGTTCACATTTGTCTGTAGTTCTCTAATGTAAGTGATGGCATCAGTAATTATGGTTTCTTTTGTCATCTGAAATCAAAAAAGAATTTAAGATTTTAGAAAATGGTTTAGATACATTCTTTAGAAAAATGTCACTGGGATTTATCTATTAGAATGAAGGGTTTTGATTCATTGCATTTGTAATGTTGGGGACCAAAGACCGCAATTCAAGAAGCCGTTCACTAAGTTTTTGACGTCTCCTTCTCTCAGCATCAAGGTTCTTGGATTTGTATTCTCTAACTTCTCCCTCAATTTGCTTCCTTTTATCCATTTTCCTTCCTATTTTACTTCCTTCAGATATATTTGAATCATCAAATGGAGTGTTGGGAAATTCCATTTTATCACACTTAATTATCATTTAATGCAAGTTAAAAAGAGAATTGATACATTGTGTTAAAATGGATTCCTAAAATTAGAAAGGAAATCTAAAGAGGGAGAGCAGGTGCTAATGATTAATGTTTGAGTGCAGCACAAAGAAGAGGCACTGCACTGGTTTTTGTTGTATGCAGGCAATAGGTTTATATATGTGCTCCTCACAACAGAAACATTTCTTGGTGGTGGGAATCTTCTTGTTGCAGTTTGTTGGGCATTTCCTAATTGATCATAATGTACTTGGGGTGTTTTGAAAGGACTCATTTTTGGCATGAGAAAGAGAGTGTGTGAATAGAGGTTCAGGCACTACAATATTGCTTTTTTGGCCTTAAACTTTTCAATATTGATGAACTAATGGAGATAACTCATATACTACTTCATAATTAACTAGTGAGGATATAACAATGACTGAATGGAAAGGCCGACATACTGCCAAACAACTATGCCTCAATGTCAAATAGTTGGGGTTGGCTATCCTTATTAGTCACTATTTACGAGCTAATTGTCAACTTATCACAATCTTTTTCCTTTATAAGGACTTATATAATTAGCTACTACTCCCCCCATTTCAATTTATGTGATAATATTTTTGTTTTAGTCCGTGTCAAAAAAGAATGACCGCTTTTTTTATTTGAAAAATTTTTACCTTTATGCAATGATTTATAACCACACAAAATATATATGCCATATTTTACACCACAAGTTTAAAAATCTTTTTTTTTTCTTAAACTATGTGCCAAGTCAAATAGATTTACATAAATTGAGGCGGATGCTGTATAATTGTTTAGATCCTTACATAAAGGGGTTAAAGGGTGGCAACTAAAAAAGAAAGAAGAATGGAAGGATGGGAATGTTGTTAGTTATGTTTGTGACTATTTTGTGGTTGTTACTAGTATTACTGGCACTAGAAAGTACAAATGAGTGACCAGAGCTGCTTTAAGTAGGAATTTTTATTCTCTTTTCACTTTTTCACTACTGACAAGCATAATATCTTAAGTACAACCTGATTTTGTATTAGAAAGAGTTTATGTTATTCCAAGCATGTATTCTGTACTTTAACCGGTATATCTTTGAACTTCACTTTCCATTTTCAGAATATTTACATGACATGTTCCACTTGGTAATCAAGGTTTATCACAAAACACGATATTTCAATTTTGTGGATTAACCAAGAAAATGAGGGATGTTTATAGCCTTTTTGGCCGAGCTTTTCAAGAGGCGAAAATTGCTTTTTTTTCTTCTCAAAAGAATTTTTTTTTTTTAATTTGAGGTGTTTGACCAAGCTTTTTCGGGGAAAAAAGTATTTTTGGGAAGAAGCAAAAGCAGTTTTGACTTTTTTTCTTACCAAAAATACCCTTAACAAAATATAGTATATACCAAAATAATCGTTAAACCTAATACTTAGGATATTAATGTATAAATATTTCTTATTATTTTTAGGATAACTTTCTAATATATAGTGACTTTAGGGGTGAATGCTTTTATATTTGTTGAATGATTTTTAATATATTTAAATTATATTAAAAGAATTAAGTGCTTTTGAATTTATTTTCATATTTTACTTAAATAAAATGAAAAGATTTAATTATTGCCTGTAATAACAAATTTTTTATTTACTTATAATATTAACTATTAAGTAAATCTATTCATGTCCTTATTCGTAATTTGATACTTAAAAGTACTTTCTGGAAAACTTGGCCAAGCACAAATTATTGCTCAAAAGTACTTTTCAGAGTGATTAACCAAACACAAACTGCTTCTCTCAAAAAGTACTTTTTTCAAAAGCACTTATCAAAATAAACTGGATAACCGACCCCAGGTACTTGAAGCTTTCTTTCTTGGGATGAGGAATGCTTGGATGCTTTATAGAAAATTTAGCTTGTTGCATTTACGTGAAGTATGCTACATTTGACTGTTATGGTTCCTATAATTGGCTTGAAATAGTAGTAAATAGCCTTGACATTCTCTTGGTTCCTGTTTGTCAAAAGGAAAATATACTTACCACAAGGAGAGAAGTATTTTTGCTATGTCCTGCTTGTTAATGATGATGCTCTTTCAGCTAGGTGTGAATCTATGTCTACATATCCAAGAACTTATGACTTCATACATGCTGACTCGATTTTCACCCTCTACAGGCAGGGGTGGAGGGAGAGTATAAGTTACGGGTTTAGACGAACCTAGTAGCTATTGCTTAGACCCGTATATTGTATTAGGAAATCCATTAAATATGTGTAAATATTCAATTGTGAACTCAGTAACTATAACGAGCTATGGGTTCGACGGCAAGTTTAAAACCCATAAACTTTAAATTCTAACTCTGCTACCAGAACATGTAATTCACCATTGGACAGTACATATTCCTCAAATTGTCATCGAATAAGGCATGTTTCTCGAAGGTGACCTGTAGATTTACGTTTATGTATGCATATGTGAAATAGAAGATTTATTATTGGAAAAGGATAGAATATCAAGGCCACAAGGCAGTGTGATATTCCGAGACAACGTAGATGTTTTGGTAAATGTGAAGAGCACAATAGATAGACTACAATCGGATAGCAGTATGGTTGATCACGAAGGTTGTCTTCATGTTAGGGAAAAGCTTCTAATTGCAACTAAGCAGGATTGGTCAGCACCAGTCCCTGACCAAGATAAACAACCTTCATAGCATGTTCATGTGTCAAATGAATCTTCTATAGTTTTGCAATCTGGCCAATTCTTCCCTTCCTTAGTTGATATTTTGTCTGTTTAATGGGTGCTTACGATATTTCATTAACCTCTCTATCTTTTTGGCTTCAAAATAAATAAGTGGATTTTGCGGTTTTTCCGTGAGATTATTCTTTTACTATTTGGCGTTCTAACCCGTACGATTTACTTTTATATGCTTTAAAATGCAAAATACAGGGCCCGTTTGGCCATAAAAAATTGCTTTTTTTTTTTTTTCAGAATTTGTGTTTGTCCATGAAAATTTTGAATTTCACTTGAAGATAAGTTTGAATATTTTTGAAAATTTAAAAAACACCAAAAAAACTATTTTTCAAAATTTTCACTTCAAATCACTCACAAAATTCAAAAACAGCTCCAAGTTGTATTCATGTCCAAACATAATTCTAATTTTCAAATACCATTTCACAATTCTTATGTCCAAACGCTTAGTGTAGAACCTATTTTTTAGATGGCTGTGTTAAATTGACTAAAGATTGTTATTCTTCTGCTATGAGCATCTATCCAACATGTCAACAAGGATTGGATGGTATAAAGGAAGCAATTGAATGACTCATAATCACATGTATTTTTCTTTTATTACTCGGACAATTAAGTTTTAATGAGAATCTATCCACAAATTTATTTTTTTAAAGGAAATAGTCCAAATTGCCATGTGGTTTAGCGTTGTCAATACTCAATATGGGTTGGCCCAGCCCAACTCACAAGGGCTTTTAGCATTTGACGGGCTACATTGGGCCGGCCCATAGTTTTAATTGGCCTTACAATGGTCAGTCCAACCCAGCCCTACGTGGGTCACGACCACCACGGGCCGGCCCATCATTTTTAAAAATTATTTTTCATATTTTTAAATTTAAATTTCAACCTAAAATTATATATATATATATTAGAGTACAAGTGTTGCGCGTGTTACCTTATCTCATTAAATATAATATTTCAAAGAATTACATAAATATTATATTAAAATTATGGTTGAGTTATAAAATAAAAGTTAAAATTAAAAATTTTAAGTTTTTAAAAATGATAATTGTTGATCCTATTTAGCTAACTCAACAAATAAAGAAACTCTATCCCATATAAGTTCTTAATCATCTCATTCAATCGATAGAAGACGTCTTTTTTTTGCTCATGAGCAAAATGCAATTTGTTCTATTTCTTTAATGTATAATAAATACCATAAGAATTATTTCCAACAAATTAAAAATAAATATTACTATCGAAAAAATAAATTTAACCACTACATTTTAATTAATCTACTCTTTTTGCTTTTAATTTTCCATGTATGAAATTATATGTATTAATTTATTCAAGAGTTTTATAGGATTTTGCATTTGATGCTTATTATTATATTATAATCAATTTTGGATTATTTTTTCATTTTTTCCACTACAAATGCTCTTCCTATAAAATATCTAATTTGTGTATCTAAAAGTTTTGTCAACTGAAAAAAAGGGTTTACTTATATGTTGAATTTGGAAATAAATTGTATGGGATTTTAATTTGTTAATTCAAAAACTTAATATTTATTCTTATTAAAAGAAATGATTTAATTTTGTTGATTGAAATTACTAATATTAACTCATTACAAGTTTTAAATATTTGACTATAGTTATAATTTTATTATTATATTTTTCAAGCATAGAGATTTAATTTTAGATATTTGTGTTTGCAAAGTTATTTGTGTTTGTTTTTACTATTGTCAACTTCTCTCTCTTATGTTTTTATAGTTACTTGTTGAAACTATTGAATGTAATTTTCATATATTATAGTATGAGATAAATTATACAAATCAATATTAATAATTAATCACTATCTCATATTTATTTGAAAAGTCTTGTTCATGTCTACAATGGTTTCCATCATTTAACTTTGTGGCATTTATGTTTTTCCTCCTCGTAATAGTGTAAGTAACATTACATTGGTCTATATAAGGAAAACTATATAAATTAGTAACTATTTTTTAATGCATGTACCATTAATCCTTCCCAATGGTTTGTTGCTGATTTGGGGTTGTTGATAATTTTCCTTTCGTTTTTAAACGATTTATATAAGTTAAACTTTTAATTGATTTTAAAGTCCTAAATATTAAGATTTTTTATCTAGTTCAAATAAGGAAGAATTTAAAGAATAAACTTTAGTTGATTTAAAATTTCTGAATATTAGGAAATAATTTTTAAATGTCGATTTTATCCAAAATGAACTCTATGTTAAAGGGGTAAAAAAGGCGAACGACATTTCGCTAAGTGTTTTTGTACTTTTAATATAGTACTAGTCTCTATGTACGTGTGTTGCACGTGTAACTTATCTTAATGAGAATTACTTGTTCAAAAATCACATAAAATATTATTTTAAAAATATGTTTGAGTAATAAAATAAGATGATCAGTTATAAAATAATAGTGTAAGCTCTTGAAATTAATAAATGCTAGATCTGATATATTAAACTCAATAAACGAAGAAACATTATCTTATAGAAGTTTTCAATCATCATTCGATATATTCACCTTAAAAATATTTCTATTATTGAAATATTATCAATTTAAT